TTAGCACCATCATCAATCATCTCACTTTAAAATGTGTATGTGTGTGTGTGTTCCAGCCCTCCCACTGAAGCTGTGCCAGAGGCTCATCACAGCATCAGGGCATCTGTTTGAAACTGAAATAAAAGTCAAACCTATGAATAAAAGAGCCACATGAATAAAAACACAGCATGCAAATGACTTGCCAAGCAGGGATTGTCTGTGTGTGAGAGAGTGGAAGTGTTGCATTCACCCTGCATTTGTTCTCCATGCCATCATGGCTGAACCCTAGCTTGACTGAGATTGTATGCAAACACACACACACACACTCTTGCACCACACGCTTACACATGATGTCCATGCTCTCTGAGGTGTATGGTTCTCTCATGCATTAATCAACAGCAGTTTTGACACTTGGCTCCCGAATGAAGAGGAGACCAGTTTAACGGAGCCAAGCTGCTGGTTCTCTCCTTCCCTCCTCCAGCACTGCAAGCGCTGCCTAGGGTGACTTTATCAATTAGGGCTCTCTGGAAACAACAGCATCCTCCCTTTTTGCTTCTACCCTCCTGAATTTCCCCCCTCTATTTTCTCTCCCTTATTTATTCCTCCTTTCTGTACGATCCCTATCCTCCCTTCTCATTGTGCATCCTTGACTTGTGCTTTTCTGTTCATCCTCCTTGTACATTACACCCCACACTTTCTACCCACTTCCTTAACCGTTACTCCTCTCTTGTTTGTCCTTTGTTACTTCCTACCTTTTTCTCAAAGCAACACATAAAGAACAATTCTTCAACCCCTGTCTTTAGCCTATGATAACTGTCCTAATAAGTCATTTTAAAAGAAAACATATTCATAAGCTTAAAGAACTTTTGTGGGAAGTTGACAAATCATTGATTTAATTATAATTGACTGGGTCCAGGGGCGGACTGGCCATCGGGACGTTCGGGACGAATCCCGATGGGCCGGTACCGCTCGGATAAGTCACTAGCACCCCCCCCCACCCCCCCCCGTCGACAATGTCCCCGCGGTATTTACTTGCAAGTTATCCATTTACTGAGTCATTTTATTATTGACAAAAACATGCAAAATGAAAAACACAACTTGAGGTGATAAATCACTGTTCACAAGAGAACAAACTTGCACAGAGGCTTTTCATATACTGTACCTGTGAAGATGAGCAAATACACGTCTTCCTTGGCCCTCTATTTCATGTGTTAATAAATCCCAGATAGCCAATATCATCCTGTCTTGTATGTCAATGCTTAGAGGAAAATAATACTGATACCTTAACTGTCTACTTTTTGCGAACTGACTTAACAATGAGGTGTACATTTGTCCTAATCTACATTCATAGATCTGCTGTAGTCAGCAGACTGTGTTTTTGTTAATCTAAATCACATGTTATTGTAGTAATTGAGTGACTAAATGTTGTTGATCAAATCATCTTGAATGTTTTATCAGAATGAAATACAAGAGTTTGGATTAACAAGGACCTACTAAAGTCTCTCTGTCAGTCATTAATTAATGCAAGTTCATCTATTACATACAGTAACTGTGGGAATTGGCAGGTCAGCATCAGTCAGGAATGACTGTTTAGTTTTTTGCTATTTCCTGTCAGCCAGGCTCAGTCCTGCTGTGCTGTGCCTTGAGGCAGCTCAGGGCTGCAAAAAGAGAGCAGGAGGGAATACAACGTGGTCAGGGAAATGGAGAGTATTGGATGTTAAACCCAATGAGATGGACTGCTAATTTACTTTACTTATGAGCCTGGAGACATGAAGACAACTGCAGAACTCTGTGGGCAGCCCTGAGCAAGACAGGCAGGAAAAAAACGAACCAGGAAAAATCACAACACACTGTATCATACTTAGAGAGCATTTCCTAGAATCAGTATTGTTCACTTTTGACTCGAATCATGGAATTTGGACAGCATTGCTAAACTTTGTTGTGCCACAACAGCACGAAACATGTTTAACTGTGGGTAATACATATTTTATCTTTGTGGCCACATTTGACTCCCACAATTGATCCCTCACATATCAACCCTTTACATTATTCTTTGTGGAAGAGTGGTTGTCTACCGGACATGCTCCAAGCGCAGCGCTGAAGAACTGGCATAAAGCTTTGAAAGTAGTGTTTGCAAGAATGAGGCAATGCTAAGCAACTACACAGTTCAGCGGACGAGCTGTCGAGCTGTTCCCCTCTCTGTTCCCCTCTCTGTTCCCCTCTCTGTCTTTTAGATGTGTCCCTGAAGGGCTACCGTACATGTCACACTTATGAGTTTGAAGATGTTAGCAGTGGGTGGGATGCCTTGTGTGTGTCTGTGTTGGAGATCAAATGTGCATAATGTGAACGCTATATGTACAGTACATGTGTCTGTGCTTATTTGAGATTTTGTTAGTGTGTGTTTCTTGGTTGGTCGTGGGAGCTTACAGGCTCTGTGCTCATAGGTTCTCTAATCCAGTGTTTTGAAATGAGCCCTCCAGCTGTTGTGGGCTTGAGAGACTGCTGCCTTGGAGGAGGCTTAGAGACGATAAGATGCTCCTTCTATCTTCATTCCTCTAGGACCTCCTCTTTCATTCTTTCTTTCAGTTTTTCTCATTCTTTATTTTCTTCCTCCTTTCCTTAATCTTCTTCTGTCTTTATCCCCTCTCTAAATCTAGCACATTTAATATCTATGTGGCCATGAGAATGAACGCTTACACTGATCTCATGCTGCCAATACAATAGCCCATGCTGTTAGGGTCGTAACCCTTCGTGTGAACTTCCCCTTTTTTGCAGTAAATCCTCGATTAAGAGCATAGGTTGATTTTGCGCATGAAGTGAACATTGTGTACACAGAGGATAGAAGAAGATCAGACTAGAGGGGTGACCTAAAACCCTGTTATTCATTATATTATATATATATTGATGGCCTGAGTTTGTAGGCGTCATAAGCGGTAATGGGAGGCCATTAGCTGCATTGTGACGTACACACTTAGAGGACGTTACATTACTTAAAGTGGACCTATCATGCTATATTTGAATAATATAGTGTAGGACCATACCTATATAAGGCATATTTATACTTTTTTCTTTTCAAAATACCAAACAGATCATGCATTTTAGCCATGCCTCATTTCGCTCAATTTGCACTTTTTTTAGCTCTGCTCTGCAAGGGCAGATTCAGTGAGAACAGCACCATCTACAGGCCTGGCATATGTACTACAGCGTCTCCAGCGCTTTCGAACGGCAATGGCCGTGGCTGTCTCCTCCTGATTGGTGGAGTTGGCCCAATAGCCGTAGCGCCACCGTCCTGACGTCAGGACAGTGTTCAAATCTGGATCAGTTTTTATCAGATCCGTTGCAGCCCCTTTTTTAGAGATTTGGGTATGGAGGAAAATAGAGAGGGTTGTGTTTTCTGACACTTGGTGAGTTCCCTGGAACACCGGGGACACATATTCATGTATAAAAGACGTACAAAAGTGCATTTTGCATGATAGGTCCCCTTTAACGTACAATCATGTATTTAAGCAATTGAGTGAGGAGTTATACTTCTGTAAATCATACATATTGACATAGAAGTGGATTTTTTCGCCTTTTACGAAAATGGCTTGCATAATGTATGGCAATTCTTTTCATGAACATATCTCAAATGAACCATAACTGAGCGGAGCAGTTCAAGCACTGCCTATCTGCACTGTGCCAGCAGTGAGCCTGCCGGGTGTGTGGTGTCTGCCAGCAGAAGGAAAGCGTAGGAAGTCTGCAGGTTTCCGACGGACAGAGAGGGAGCAACAGGCAGTCTGTCAGCTAGAATATGATGCTGAAATTCAGAACCCAAATTAGGCATAAACGACACTTATGTCCTTACAATTCCTAGCACAATTTTGCAACTTCAAAATAAAACAGATAATCTGATTTATGGTGAGATTTATATTTTGTGGTCGGAAGTGATCATTGATTGCACTTGACATCTGGCTTGACTCCTACGTAACCACACATGAAGGCCTGTGGTTTCTAGTATTGGCTTATGGAAACATCATCATCTTACATTATCACTAACAAGGACGATTCTCAGGACATGATCAATTATCTGTAATCATATCAGTGCCATCCTCCTCCTTACCATGTTTAGATAAGATTACTTCCCATTGGGTTTTTTGGACATGGATACATGCTTGCGGGGGAAGTCTAACTTAATTTTGCCTGTAATGTCTTTAGCTGTTCCAGAAATAGGATGCTGCATGTACATATTTGTCTTTCTGGGTCTGTTGAGGCTGACAGCTAAGTGCAGATGAGAAAAACTCATCAGTTTCTTAGTTTGAGGACATATACCTTTGTTGCATGGAAAGAAAACGAGCTATCATGGTTGTTTAGTATGCTGTGTGCACAGGAAGCGGCAAATAATACCAGAAATAACCATTACTATTCCCACTTGTCATGTTCATTTAGTATGTATTGATACACACTGCGTTCCCATGGAATTAGCAAGAAGCAAGTTGTTTTAGGGAAATGAATAACTCAGGAGACAGCCTATCGTGTTTCCCCATTTAACGTTTACATATTTAATTTGATCCCTTCACAATGTGGTCTAGAGGTTTGTTTAGCTGATGAGAGTATTTTAAAGAAGAGTTTGGTTCAGAAATCATGTTTGTTTTGTTGTGAAGATGTAAAGGCGGTGGAAATGGAATTCAATGAGACTTACACATGACTTTTCCCTTTTAAAAATATTAAACCTTTGCGTGTACATGGGTATTTATACACATCACCATGTGTCTTACTTCTTTATCTTTGACCTATTAAATGCATTTTTTTTTCCCGATAACACTTGTTATAGAGGACTGAAATAGCCTTAAGAAGGACTGAATACTTTCTATTACAGTGAAAAGATATGATAGGAACGATTGTGTAAGATCCATCCAGTGGGAGTTGTTATGCTACATTTCGATCTCATTCTGTCTTCTTGTTTGACTTGTTTGCACGTTGGTGCTGTGTGTGCTTATCTATGCTGTATCAAGACACTGATCACCGCCTCCTTCCTCCTGCAGTGTGTGTGCGGGCGCTGGATGTGACGGTGGCCCAGAGCAGTATCCAGGTGGCCCGCGGCCAAGCAGCAGTCCTGCCCTGCTCGTTCACCACCAGCGCTGCCCTCAACAACCTCAACATCATCTGGATGGTTATACCACTGTCCAATGCCAACCAGCCAGAACAGGTAGAGTGTTTATCACCAGTGCACCCACTCACTCACAGTGACTCGGCATCATTGCATGCTTTAGAAGTTCCTCAAATCGATGTGCTTATGATTAACTGTGATCAGAGATTATTTTTGTAAGTAGAGGGGTAATGTTTAGTTACTTACTGAGATGTCTACTATCCTATTGAGATGCGTGTAACTTGTGTTCTAATGCAATGTTACTGCATACGCATCATGTGGATGTCCGTGCTGCTTCCCAACACCAACCATAAAGTCAAAGCAGGTACACAAGACTTGATCTATACTAAGGTGTGCTCAGATACAGCGCAAAGAGAATTAAATCATCTTGAGAATCGAGAAATTTGAACAATGCATCCACAGAGAGAGAGACTCTCTTAAGCTTAAGGGACATCCAGCGCAGTTACATGGCTGATCATCATAGTTCACTATGATGATCACGGTACTGCACATGTATGTGCAGTGACACATGTGTCTCAAGAAACAGACTGCATAATTGCTACATTTCAGTCCATTTTGCACCCAACACAAATACACCAAATTTCTCTTTCCAGTGCACCTGAACGCACCTTTAGGGTCTTAGTTATAGATATTAGATGACTGTATTAGCTAGTATTATAGATATAGTAGTAGTTAGCTTAAGGTATAGCCATAGTTTAGTTCACTTTCTCAATGTAGCCTGCAGGACAGCATTGTCATGTAGCACTTCTCTACCTTTCCCTCGACAGTGATGCACATTTAACTGTTATCAATTTGTTGAGAACATTGGCAATGGTTTAATTGGCACACACAAACATTGCATGATTTAGAATTTAGTTGAACATTGTGTCCAACTGGTTTCTTACCATTGTCCCTTCCTGGCCTACTACTCTTATTTTCTTTCTGTTCTTTTTTCTTCTTCTCACCTTCCCTTCCTTTGTCTCTGTCTCTTTCACTGTTCCTCCCCCCTTGCGGGACTTCTGTGATTCCATTTGAGTTGTTTAACATGCAGCTGCAGGCCGTACAAGCTCACCTGCCTCCCTTTACTTTGAACCCTGGCGCTGGTCGGCCGTCCAAATAATACAATCATCTTCTGCACTAATTAACCCACGCCCACGACAGGCTCTATATCGCAGCTGTTCTCACCACACACACAAACACCGACTCACACACACACACACACACAAACTGGCATTTGACAGACTGCTGATCCAAATGCACTGCAGATCCACATACAGACATGCAGAGCTTCATTATATTTACTGGCTTCACACATACATGCATTCATGATGCTCAATAGAAGTGTGAAAACTCCCATCAATGTTTCCATACATCCATAAATGCACACATACGAGTTAATGAAATGAGCACACCTGTGGGTAGGGGCGTATGCCATTGAAAACAACAGAAACACATAGGCAGTTACTCGTGGATGAATGCATGTGACTTTTAGATGCTAGGCGAAGAAATCGGATACATGTAAAAGCCTGCATAACAATCATAATGTTCTCACGCCATACCCTCACACGTGTTATATAGTGTCCATGTTAATGTGCGTATACCTACGAACAATGGGTAAAAGCACAGTGATGCACACATGGTCTTGAAGCGTGCAGTGTCACAAATTGAACATTAAATACAATATGCATACAGTGACGTACAGAAGTAACAGAAGAAGAAGTGTTAGCTATAATTTAGCAATCAGGTTATGCATGTGAATTTGGTGAGTGATGAAATGCGTGCGGCGACAGTACAAGTACAAGGTCATTTTCGATGAAGAGAATGTCACAACTGATTACAATTGATGCTAAAAGCCATTAAGAATTACTGAACACAATTCTGTACACTTCCACACCCCCACAACCCGCGTAAGCACTTTGGCGAGTGCACTTGATCCACTCAGATCCCCCTGTGCTCACATTTGACTACCTAGTTCAGATAACAAGAGGCAATGCAACTTATTTAGCACTCTTGAGAGGGAAACAGTACCGGCTTGTCAGACTTTGCAAACTTTAGCCGTTTGTTAAAGCCCAGATTATTCCAGTATTTGCTCGATGCTTTGGTTCGCCAAGTTGTTAAAGACTTCACCTTGTGGTTTACAGGCTTAATCTTAATTAGACTGTAAAAGTTAATGAATCAAGTGTGAGCTTTATTTGTTGTGGAGAACGAGTGCCAACGTTGTGCATCGCAGTCTGAGGAAGCATTACAGATGATTTAAATGTGGACAGTTTGCATTTCCCCTCAGCTCAATGGAATTTTATTGCATCTTCTGTGTTTTTGGTTTTCTGTAGCAGAACTTTTGGCTGCAGCAGGCAGTTATGTAGGTGAAAAAGCTCTGATAATCCTGAAATACACTTCATCCCCGCCAAACTCAGCAGACACACACAGTTAGAGACCAGCTGGTCAGCATATAGGAGCATTCAACTGCTAAGAGCTAGGTATTTCCCTCATGAGTTGGTGGGATATTGGACTAAAATTCACAAGGTGACGACAAATACAGTAACTAACAGATGCTTATGTTTCTTTTTTAATTCTTTCTAAATATTAGATGTGTTGTGGTTTTAGTCCTTTTGTTTCACTCTGAGTAGCTGACAAGATAAGGTCCATATTACAACATGTAGCCATGCAGCTCAGAGGAGTGTTTGTTTGTGTGTATGTATGTTGTTTTCTGCGTAACTAATCTGTGTATCATGCTGTTGATGTGATCAATCCTCCTGACCTCTTTCCTCTTGGTTGCTAGGTGTGTGATAATCCTTGAACACACACACACACACACGCACACACGCACACGCACACACACACACACACACACACACACACACACACACACACACACACACACATACATTAGACAATGGTTTTATTCAGTTATTTATCCTCTGTAAAATGCTGGATATATTTTATTCATGCTCGATTAAAGCTCCAGGTTTTTTTCTCCTCTTCAACTCTTGTAAAATTAATTCCTAAAACTGATAATGTATCAAAATTGTTGATACAACACATACAACACATTTATTCAATTAGCTGAGTCTGGCATTTCAATAGTGTCAGCTTTGCCTGAAATCGGTTTAAATCCAATTTCTACTCTCTCTTTTTACCTACTCTAGCTGAAAGGAGAAGTTTTATCGATAAAATACATTTGATATGCCGTTGCATCTCTTCTCAATTATTTTGAGTCTGGAAAAAATGATTTTAAATATGTTTTCAATTCCTGTAAAGGTTGCCATGTTGATTTTTCTAAAACAATTGCACTTATGGTGAAATGAGGCTCTGTTGAAATTGAGGTCATAGAGAGTCTGTGGTACACAAAATCATCTCAATCTGTAATTGAAAACATCTGTCACGTATTTTAGCTGATCATACTCTGATCCTTATCTGAACCTAACAATCCACCAGAGGATAGCTCAAATAGATGCTGCTTTCACAAACCCTCATCATTGCCTCCCCTAACTTTTCCTAAACAATTTTTGCAGGACACGTCAAAGAAAATGAACAAGGGCCTATTTCATACAAAGCCATCAGAGACATGTTGTTTGTCTGAGGCTGTAACTCCTCCCTGAGGAGAGGTTATATTACAACTCATACACTTAGCTTCGACACACACTCTCATACACATTAATGTGATACCTTTTATCGATCTGCACGGAGGAAGTTCTTTTTTTATTTGCTTGCCTACTTCCAGGGACATCAGTATGCAGAGTCAGCAACCGTCATTTTCACCAATAGGGTTTAAAGTGTCTTTCTTAAAGGTCACTTGAGCATAATAATTCTTGCTGATATTAGGACTTGAACCCTTGCCTTTAGTTGAAGGACACATATCATTAACCCTGCCTGATCCCTACTGCATCAAGGTCACAGTCACAACCTTGGACATTGCATACCCTAATCTCAAAGACCAAATATGACCAGTCCTCCGTTGACTGAACCAGTGAAGTAGACTCCTATTTGAGACCAAAATCTACTGCAAATGTACAGTACATCAGTTTATCTTCTGTTACTTTCTGGGATTGCTTCTGGGAATCATTTCTATCCATCACCGGTCCATTTTGTATTGTAGCACTGTGACCGCATGGTTACGACAATATAGAAACTCGTTCCTTTTTTAGGACATGTACCTTATACACAAATGTCCTTTTTATTATGTTCTCAGATTTTGTTATGCAGTTCCTTCTCACCTCTACCTATGTTTACGTTGCACATTAACATCCTAAATAAACATATCCCATTCTTGTTTACTAGTACAAATGGATACATTATGGATTATGGACCACTGGTGTGTGGATGATATGGATACATCTTATTGTTGTATTTTACTCTTATTGCTTTATTTTGTATTCATAGCAACATTTAATTTCCCCACCTATTCTCCCCCCTGCTGTCTGAGGAGATGGAATATCTCTATTTCCTCTCTTCCCTGAGGGTTCTTCAATGTTTTTACTTGTTATTGATTAAAACGTTTATTATCCTTGGTAACTGTTGAGATATGATGTTGGGCTGAATAAACTTGAGCTTACTTGACCTACCCAACAAAGAGAGTTGTTGTAGCGTACTTGAATGCACCACAAAGAAAGCACAGCAACTGGCTGATGATGGTGCTCACTGACTGTACTGTGTGCTTGGGAAAATGGCATGGGTAAAGTACATTTTACGTAGTGTATGGGCTAAATCATTCAAAGCCAACAGTTTGAAGAGATGGGGAAATGGATCTGGGCCCATATTGTTTCACAACATGTCTCAGAGGATATAAAGGGATAACAGTAGCAGCTTACAGTCAGTACATTGACGGGAGGCTATCGGGGTTTAGAGGTTTATTCAGGCTTTATTGAGATGGTGGCAGTGTCCCTCATGTCTGGGGCCAACAGGGTCCTTGTGGTCAGCCATAAGTAGGCTATGGTTATGAGACTGACACCGTGACGGAGAATATATGAAGGTTGCCCTGTGTGCATCCAGTTGTGGCTCACACTTACAGGCTAGATTGTAGCATAGTTAGTGCGAGGGAATGCTTGCAGTGCCTGTGTGTGTGAAGGGATTTAGGAGCGAAAGGATGTAGCAGAGGTTTACCACTGGGCCAGCAGCGGGGCGTCCAGCTAGTCCAGCTAGAGTTCTTAGGGCCAGCCGCCATCTGAGTGCCAGCCATGACCTCTTTTTATCCCAGCGCACAGCTACAAAGCCAACCAGGCCATGCAAAATGATGATGTGATTTATATACACATAGATATGGACAGAGACAAGAAAATAGGTGGAATGTATCATGTTTTAAGGTGGAAAAACACAGTAAAAGGGTTTTGAGATACAGTATTGTTACCTTAATATATTCATTGTTGTCAAAAATAAAACCCACAGGATTCATAAAAATATGATAGCTAAATTATGAGTAAGATGCAATCACAATTTTGTGCCTGCGTTAATTCAGCATTCACTCATGAACAGGATTGATCGGATCACTTTCACCGAGCAAGCAGATTATATAGTTAGGTCATCAGGAGTGTAGAGCCAGGTCATACAGGTGCCGTCTGTTAGAGAGTGAAACAGAGAGGTGGGCAGAGACAGACAGACTGAAAATGGAAAAAATATCATAGATTAGACTGGGAAAAAGTGGACAGACAAAACATATGTGAGACCACATGGTTATTAGAGTGTGGCAGAACAATTACACACCGGCACACACAACTCAAAACTGATACACTCCCCATGAGTATATGAATATACAATGAAACACACACTCACACACCCACACACACACACACACACACACACACACACACACACACACACACACACACATACACACACACACACACGCACACAGAGAAGATGCAGTTGCAGGCTCTCATCACAGCTGAGGAGCTGCCTATTCATCTGCACATAAGAGGACAAAGCGAGCGTACTGCACTCAGGAAATTGCAGCCGCACAATTTACAACCGTTAAACAGCGGTGGAGGACAGCGACACATACACACTCTTGCAATTTTAGAACTATCACACACACACACACACACACACACACACACACACCACACACACACACACCCACACCCACACACACACACCCACCCACACACACCCACCCACCCACCACACCCACACACCCACACACACACCACAACACACACACACACACACACACACACACACACACACCACACACACCCACACACACACACACACACACACACACTACACACACACACACACACCACACACACACACACACACACACACACACACACATACACCCACACACACCCACACCCACACACACACACACACACACACACACCCACACACACACACACACACACCACACCCACACACACACCCCCCCCCCACACACACACACACACACACACACACACACACACACACACACACACACACACCACACACACACACACACACACACACACACACACACACACACACACAGACACACACTGGTGCCGGTTGTTTCCCTGCTTGGTTCTTTGAACAGTTCAATGAGGGCTCTTTTCACCAAAGTGAATAGCCGCTCTGATTCCCCTCCATGCTTTGTGTGTACGTGTGTGTGCGTGTCCGTGTGTGACTTAGTGCGCGTGTGTGAGTGCCAGACTTGTGTGCACATACCATGTGTTTGCGTGGGTCCTCTTCATCTTTTGTGTGAGCCCAGCTGAGGGGTGAGAGCTTATTTGCATGTGGCTCGGCCTCACAACCAAACTGTTCAGACCACGTCTAAAGGCCTGAGAAAAGCTTTTGAACAAATTAATCCTTAGTTGCTGTAGACCTGACAAGCTTACCTCACCCATACAAGTGTTTTTATTACTGTGAAGGTCAAAGTTATGTTTTAATTACTTGCAGGTTGTCATACATTGTGCACAAACCTTTCTGTATTGCTACTTCTGCATTCATCTGATTGCAGTTGATATGTTTCCAAGTTGAAATGTTTTCAATTATGCATACCATTTAGTGGATGCTTTTATCTGAGCTTTATGGTACCATAAAAGCATATTTTTAGTATGCACTTCTTACTCTGACATTTACTCGGTGAGCTAGAGACAACCACTTACAAATAAAAGGTTTTTCTCCGTGTCTGTCTGTCTGTTTGTTTGTTTGTACCTTAAGAGCAAAGTCTGTTTGCTCCTTAACTTTCTCTGTCCGTTGTTCAGCCTCATAGTGGAACTTGGGCTCCCTCTAGTGAAAGACATCTGTAACAGGCCACTACAGTAAATGTTCAAGATGCACATTCATAAAGTTGACTGAAAATGACCAAATGCATTGAGTTGGGTATTATTCTCTACATTTCTTTTGACTACAGGAGCAGATTATGTTGTCTTTTGTTATTCGTAATAAACATCTCTGAATTGCTATTTCATAATATTTGTTTCTCTGTTCTCTTCCCCCTCATTTCTCGCTGAACTCATGTCACCAATGTCACTTTCTGCCTTCCAACCCTTACCATTTACTTTTCTATTTTACCAACTCCATCATTTTCCATTACTTTCTCTGTCCCTCTTCCATCCCCTCCCATGACATCTCAATCCAGGTGATCATTTACCAGGGCGGCCAGGTGTTCAGCCTCGCCAACCACCTCATTGGGCGTGTGGGCTTCTCGGCCACCATGCCAAGTACAAGTGCCTCGATCTTCATCAACAACACCCAGCTGTCGGACACTGGGACCTACCAGTGCCTGGTCAACAACCTCCCAGACAGAGGGGGGCGCAACATCGGCGTCATTGGGCTCACTGTTTTGGGTAACTTGCTTACATACTTTTTCTTTATTAAATGTGAGAAAAAGACAAAAAAGTCTCTAATTTCAGATATAATCAGGTTTAAAGATGTATCTATTTCAACAAAATGTCATAACGTGTTGGTCACTGCATTGACTGAGACCATGAAGAGAATAATTAACATTTTGTATGTCAGGTTTATGAGAACTAATGCTATTAAGTATTTTATTGGCTTGGTTTTTAACATGAAAGCTTGTTTTGCCAAAGGTACAGCTCTTCAATTTGTAAGCAACCAAGCATGCAAGCACTCTTGAATTGATGATTCTTCAGCTCTTGAATATATCATTTTGAATATTCGACAGTCAGGAAAACATTATATTTGCTTTGCAAAGTGGTTAACACAACGCCACCCACTGTCTCCATCTGCCAGTGCCACCCTCGGTGCCAGCATGTCGTATCCAGGGCACTCTGGATGTAGGCAATGACATCATGCTGATGTGCAGCTCCGAGGAAGGTATTCCCACGCCGTCCTACTCCTGGGAGAAGCTGGACGCGCTGCCCAAGCTGCCGCACAACGCCATGCAAGGTATTACAAACAGGCTGGTCGTCGGAGTTCCCTTTTGCCCCACCTTTGCTGGTAAATCTCACACACATAGCGTGGCTCAGCCTCAGCCACAATCCCACCATCACCGCCACCTGTCATGTGCCAGGCCCGAACCCACTGATCCTGCTGAGGGGTGATGATGGATGGAGTGATTCAAACCATGTGAATTTGTGAATGAGTGTGTCAGGAGTGTGTTTGTGCAATTAACCCGGATAATCTGTGATGTTTTGCCAGATTCTCTCATGCTGAATAGCAACTCTCTCTTTCTGAGTTGGGTTTGGTTCAGCATCAGAGAGCACTGGTGTAGTCGACTCTCCTTTCTTTTCCAGCCAAATGATCTTCATCATCAGTCACTGTCTTTGTCTATGTACTACTGGTTAATAGAAGTCAAATACAAACTGTAACATTATTTGCAAATAGCAGATTATATAGCAGAAGTCCATCTTTTCTTTCTTGTACAACTATTGTGGACAAGCATTGGAAATGACTAAATAAATAAATAAAAGTGTCTTAAACTGTATATATTAACTAAAGGTACATAATACATATCTACCATTAGAGATACCTTTTTTCAAGATACTTACATTTAAACTATATGAGGAAATTAATATCAAATTTGCATTTTAAAACTTAAAACTATCTTATATCCTCTAATTTATTCTGCCTACCTCACTGATTTGTTTTGAGTTTTGATTCTGTCTTCTTCTGGTGTTTGAATTTAGACTTTTATTGAAATGAGATCCTACATTTGTCAGTTGTACTCTTTCTCTGTGTGTTCAGTTTGACACAGACAGATGTACTGCTATTTTGTACAGAACAGATGAACCAGTAGTGTGAGGCTACTTCTGTACTTTGGACTTTACCCATTTATCAATTGTAAAAGAAAGGAACCAGCAGCTTTCCTTTTAAATGAAGGCAGTTTACTTCAATTGCAAACCTCATATTTAGGATATATAGCACCATCTATTGGTAGATAGTAGAAGTGGTTAAATTGAATGTATTGTCATAGTCTTTTAAACTATTATTTAGTCATTCCAAATGAACTTTAATGTTGATTTGCATTCCTTATGTTTAGTTTTTCTTTAATAATCATTGGGTTTATTTGTATGCTTTGGAACTTTGCTATAAATTTTTGATTAAGTCACTTTTATTACTATGTCTGTGTGTGTGTCCATCAGACCAGATGCAGGGCTCTGTAACACTGAGAAACATCAGCACCAGCACCTCAGGACTCTACCAGTGTACATCCAGCAATGCTATTGGCAAGAGCACGTGTCTGCTCAACCTGCAGGTCATCGCGCGTAAGTAAACACGCTCAAACACACTGCTCCTTAACTGTTCCATGTGACACTGTTACGCTCATGACACTTTGACACGTTTGTTAAGGGATACACATTTATAGCTGGAAAAAAACCTTGTCTCACTCAAACTCTGACACAAGCGACTTTAGAAATATTTTCCTTGAGTGACACCTGTCAGACAGAGAGACACACAAGCAACCAACACATCAACCAAACAAAGGACAGCAGAGCATCTTGCAGACAGAGAGTCGGTTTTCGGGTCACATGGGGTCAAACAGTTTTGATGGCTTGACAGAAAGCTGTAGCATGGTCACACAGTCGTTGTTGTTGTTTTTTTATCTGACAGTGTGTGACAGGAGGCTCAGTGTCACAGACATAAAGGCAGATAGACAGCAGAGTGCCGAGTCTATCTGTCAGAGACTACAGTGGAATGAGTCATGCCAACATGGTGCAGATGTAAATGCTCAGGAAGAATATATGTTACTCAAAACGCTTCGGTGCCATTGCTGTTTCCACTTTACGTTCAAAAATATTGAATAACATGCAAATAAGCACTGCATTTCTGAGTGTATGTTCTTTCTTTTCCACAGAAAGGATAGACACTGTTTTTAGAGAGAAGGAAACAGCTCCTCTTTTGATTGTCTTACAAAATCAACCAATTATATTTACGTCCTCACAACAGCGCAAATTACTTACTGTATTTTCAGTTTCCTACAACCCATCGAGCTCTTGTTTTTGGTAGGGCTTATCCTGGGTGACTTATAATTGAACTTACTGTCAAGTTTTTGGAAAACATTGGTCAAACCTGTTTCTCTGTTTCTCCCACAGCCCAGCCTCAGAGTGTTGGCCTGATAGCGGGCACCATCGCTACAGGAGTGCTAGCTCTCATCATCTGTGGCCTGTTAGTGGCGGTCACGCTTTTCTACTGGAAGAATAAGAACAAATATGACGAGGAGGAGATCCCAAATGAGATCAGGTTTGTCTTTTATTTGTGGCTTCGGTCTTTTGAAAGTCTTTTGAAGTCTCCCTGTTGGTAAAGAACAGTATTAATAGATGCATTTGATACAGTGTCTCAAACAGGGATTGATAACTTGCATATGTATTCTAGATTGTTGGGGCTTATTTTGTGGCCCCTCTGATGTTGTAAAAGGCGATAAGATGCAGCTGCAGCTTTGTGTTTCCTACTGTAAAGCGATTTGTGTCAGCCCATGCAATCACACAGATTATAGTTAAACATAAAAAAAACACCCAGACCAGTTAATTGGATTCATAGTTTGGAGAATTCAGTTTAATTTTTATCTTCTGACAGCCAACGTTTCCATCATCCCAGGCTAATTTGTCTGTTCAAACAGTGTGTGAAGCTCTGTCGGTTGTTTAAATGGTCTGCAATTGTAGATATCTGAGGCTTTGGCTGATTGGGATAACATCTGCCTCATTTTGGGCTCAACTGCAATCATGCGCAATTCCATCCTGACGGCTCTTATTGCCCCCACTAATGGCAAATCACAATGAATATCTTTAATCTCTGCCTAAATTATCTGGAGACGTCTTATCTACCAAAAAGTACTCTCTTTAGAAAACCCATTCGTATTAGCATAGATTATATAAACTGTAACTTAAAAGCAGTGTTTTGATAACTCAATTTAAATACATTCACTGTATATTTAAATGATTCATATCGTTAATGCATAGATTTAAAGATTGTCATATTATGATGAAATAAAGAGAACAGCACTTGTTTTATTCTGTGTTGGACTAATTGTTATATGTAGACTTAAAGTTTATAAGCCATGTGTGCCACACACATTAGGTGTATCACTGTATATTTTAAGAGTCCAGAAAGATCCCAAGGCAATAATAAATAAATAAGTGAAATTGAGATTCTCAGTTTATTGAACTCTTGACTACATAGTGGAGCATTTTTTATTTTGAATGCACCAAAGCAGGATTTGTGTTAATATTTAAATATGAACTAATTAGCTATCTTAATGCTATCACTTCTAATATCACTGATATCTTCACAACCCCTACTTATATCTTCTTAACAGAGAAGATGACCTTCCTCCCAAGAGGTCATCATCAGCGAAGGCTTTCCATGCAGACGCCTCCTCCTCAGAGAACGACACGCTGACGTCCACCAACACCTACAACAGCCGCTACTGGCACAACCCCAAACCCAACTACGACACCAACTCCTACACACGCTACAACGGAGACACTCGCCAGACCTTCTCCACCGCGGCTCACGGTGCACATGCACACGGTCAGGCCCAGAACGCAGGACACAGCCACAGTACAGTGGTCACAGCACCAGGCTCAGCTCCACTGTCCCGCCATGCACAACCCAACACGGCAACATCGTTTGCCAATGGCAGCCATACGCTCCCCCCACCAAAAACTCTGGTGGTCACCACAAACTCTGCCCCATCCCCTACCGCCATGGTGCGCAGCAACGGCTCTGTGAGTCTAAAACCGGTGGTGATGTCCGCACACGGGCAGCACACACACTCCTACGCAGTGAGCCAGGCCACCCTGGAGCGGATGGGGGCGGTGCCTGTCATGGTGCCCGCCCAGAACAGAGCAGGCTCGCTGGTGTAACATCTTAGCTTAACTGCTTTGAAAACAAGACTAAATGAGCATTTGGTTTGTGAGATTTTACATCCACTGATGAACAACATACAGAATATGGGCTAAAGCAGCCCGCTGCCCTTTACAATGTTGTCTTTTCTGTATGTCTGGACATCTGTTTCTCAAACCAAGCTGGGATTTTACAATCCAGAGTTCAGTTAATGCCAATTCTTTGTTGAACGGGACGCTTTCTTTTGTAGTAAAGCACTACATGGGATCTGATCACCCCGTCATTTAATGGATTTTATCGGCAGGTGTGGCGGGAACTCTTTTTCAACCACTTGGATTATTTCACAAAGCTGGAGTGGAATTTCCTGCAGAACTTGGATTCCCAGATCCTTTTCAGGGTTGGATCATTGGGATGATTATGTTTTCGTTTAGACTCAAAGCAACACAAGGCATTTTCATCTCAGTGTGTCCATACTGCATGGTCAGACAGAAGCGAGCTCGGATTCCCACTTAATGCATGTGTCTCTTGTTTCGGGATAAACAATGAAGTCTATATTATTTCTAATCATTTCTTTTGACAATTTCGATTGAGAGAAATAGTTGTGATGATGGGGATTGCTGTATGCATTGAACGTGAATGTTTTCAAATCTGTCGGGAAAAACCGAAAGGATAAAAGTATAACAATTAAATAATGTCGGGGAGAATGGCCTTAGAAGCTTAGGGAGATGGGTTTTATTGGGTGCAATACATACACAATTCATTGAATGCAAACATTTTAATTACATTTACGCACTTTTCAGAACAACTTTATATCAAAACTTCTGTCTTATGAACAATAACTCAGTCTTACTAATGCTATGCTTTAAACCATACAACATATATCAAAACTTACATGCACATACAACATGCTGGTGATGTTTGAAGATGGCACACACACTGGATGTGTACAACGGAAAGCTACTGTCCCCCTGATCTAACATCAAACCTGCAGATGGATAATTGTCATAGTCTGTGTTCATTCTCACTGTTGTCCTAAACTGGTTCATGTCACATCAGTGCTGCTTGGAGAAGATTACAGGATGTCTTACTTCATAAATGCTTTATAAAGAGACAGATATATATATTTAAAGGTGATTTCCCCCCCCCCCCCCCCCCCCTCTTGACAAAGGCTAACACTTTTTGTTTTCTACTGTACATATTGTAACTACAACAGTAGGCTAGATTGTGAATCAAAGAAAAATACATTCATGTCTGACTTATACATTTACATCTGCAACTCATGTGTCTTAATTTTGAAATAATTGTTTTTTGTTAAATTAGGCAGCAATTGGGATTTCATGATAAGTGTTATGGTTGCAATGAAGGGATGTTTTTTTTTATCATTTTTTTTAACGAGGTATTGCCATTTCATTACAAGACCCGAGTTGAATACACGTTGGCCATACATTTTGCTATACATAGTAGACACCTATGCTGTATATGGTAGAAAGTAGCACTGTGTTTTTGACCTGCTGTTTTTATTTTAACCAAAACTCAACCAACTGTTACAGTGTTCCCAAATTCTTAATCCTAATTCTTATTGTGCATTACCTTAATGCACAATACTCGCTTTGAGCTATGATGCAGTAGTGATACAGCAATTATTTGTTTGTACATGCAGTATTGGAAAGTGTGTTTTATTCTTCAAAGCAATTCCTCTTTGCGTCTTTTATTAATTAAATGTGCTGTATTGACATTTACATTTATATTGAGACAACACAAGGTGCTAATATAACTTACGAAAGTGCTCCAGCTTAAACAAATATAATCCCTTAATTAATGGTGGAGACATTTTTCTTTTTTAATTTATATGATTTAGTCCAGATGACTTTAATGTCATGTTTGTGCCCTTTCTATATGAGTTATATTACACTAACACACAGTTAATTAAACTGGAAACTACAATAAACTTGATTTGGAAGCCTAAATGAACACAATGTTCTTTATTCCCAACACATGTTTGGTTAATTTGAGCAATACATACTAACCAGGTGTTATGGAGTCACAAAATGGACCTTCTGAATATCAGTTGACACTCAGTTTTCATCACAATTTCTTGTCAGTGATGTACAGTAGGCCTGCCATCAACAGCAACCTGAAGCAAATGGAACCCTGAATTTTTCCCCATAGTCATGATATACATGGCTCAATGTCTGATATCTGCATTATTTGTATTCATCCACTATTCTATCAGTTGCTACAATGTGCACCAGCCTCACAAATCACACGTGTGTATTCTTTTTTCTTCCATTTGACCCCGGTCTGACCACAGCTATACACCTGCTCAGTGTTCTTACAGACACATTTATCCAAAGTGTTTTTTCTTTCTTGTTATGTCTTAAGGCTGTCTGCTGTGTGTCAGAGCTACAGTACTCTGTTAATCAGCCTGGAACACACATACAGTAAACACATAAATTGCTTTATAAATACAGTAAGGCTTTAACAGGTACAATGATAAAAGGTCAGGTATCACCTCCCCTCCTTTTTGTCTGAGTGATTTCAGAATAAAATATCCTGTCTGTGTATCTTTCACTCGCCATCTCTCCTAGTGTCCCTGCCCTGAGCACCGGCTGACAACTTTAAAGAAACAACTCTTCTTCTAAAATCTCTGGCTTTGTTCTTGCCAGAGAAAATGTCTGGCTGGAAAAACAAAACTGAGATTATTTTATTCTAACTCTGCCCTCCGTTTGCAGGAACAATGGAGGAAAGAGAGCACAATCAGTAGGAAACTACTGAGGCTTTAACCCAGACTAAAACAACTCATCTTCTACCTTGGCTTTAGGAAGGTGGTACATGGGTTGTGTACATAGATAGATAATGACATGTGATATATTGCCAATAGTAAAACAAACCTGTAAATATGTATAAAAAATACATCTTGTTCTTACTGTTGGGTTGACATGAAATAGGAAAAATAACACTGGAACCTGTAGTGAATAAATATTGTTAATACATTCTAATCGGCTTGCTGCTCGTCTGTTCGTGTGTTGCATGTTTTATTTGGCATGATACAATTTCCCTGCCTAGAGTACAAGGTTTTAAGATACAAGTTACACGCTGAATAGTTAATAGCAATAATCAAAGAGAAACAAGAAGAAAAACATACGACATAAAATTATTTCTTTATAAGTCTTCTAGTGGATCTGTCACAATCTGATGAAGGACCCAAATGCAGCACTCAAGGTTCAAGGTTCTTTATTGTCAATCTGACATAGCTACAGAGTAATTATGTAGTTGAAAATCTTATGTCACAGGCTTCTCCAACAATGCAACATAATAACATAATAACAATAAGAGCAAGAGCAATACAAAAAGAAAAATAGTTATAAAATAAAGTGACTCGAGAAACCAAGGAGTATTGGTAATATACTTTATTGGTAATACCAGAGCAGAGGGATACCAGCAGAACAGTAACAGCCGGATGATGTGCAGGCAAGCGAACCAGAGGACAGCAGGCAGAAGGTGAGTCAGGGCCGGGCAGAGGGTCAGACAGCAGGCAAGGCAGGATAGTCCAAGGACAGGCAGGATCAGGGAACAGGCAGAGCAGGCAGGTCAGGGACAGGCAGGGTCGGAACCGGGTAGGCAATCTGGTAACAAATGGGTGAAAGACTAGCATGAAGGCAAAGTACGATCTGGCAACGGGTGTGTGTCTGGTGAGGGTTTAAATACTGGCAGTGTGACTAATGGGTGCAGTAGAGAAAGAGAGTAAGCAAAAACGTGTGTGTGGTTAACAGGTGAGACAGGTGAATGGAAAACTTGAATGGAATGATGGAGCAGACCGGAACATGATTCTAAAACTGAAATATGTTGCTGTATGAGCTACACTTAGGTATGATGTGTGAATATTCTGCATTAAATGTCTCATGTAGGTATCATCTTCAGAAGGAACTGCTGCTCTCATTTAAATAACATATTTCATGCTTTGCTCAGCAAGCCTTCTATGAAACTCGTTCATTCTGCCTCTGGTGCTCCTGCAGGCTGTTAAGACAACCATAAAGACGAGAGCAGTACGGAATAACAATATGAAGAATATGCAAGTGTGCTAGTTTCTTTATGCTCTTGTGGTTTCCACTCTATTCCCAAGACAAATTGTGTAATACTGCACAATCGAAATGTTTTCCAAGTAAAAATAGAGAATATTTTGAGATATAGATGTAAGCTAATCATACTGCACACTGCTTTTGAGCTGCAATATTTGTCTTGGATTGTATTTAGTTGTTTGTGTGTGTGAGTGTTTGTGTGTGTGCATCTAAAAAATATCTGTATTGGATTGGTCTGAAGCTGCAGTTCTTACATGTACCGGTAGGGGGCAGTATGTATACACTCAATACCGCCAGTACTTGCAGAAATGTGATGTTCAACTCTGTCTTAAATCCTATCATAGTTTAAATCAGTACATTATGAGACATCATTATAAAGATAAAGTTATCTAATATATGTGAATTAACTGTGAATGGACTCATTTAAATTCATTTAAATAGAGGGGGAAATCATTTGAAGCTGACATAACTCGTATCTGATGCAATCTCAAAGGTGGTGGTTTCACCATCTCATCTGAATTTCCATCAGTATTCCTCTATTCTTTCTCCAACCCGCATTTCAACATTAAAATCAACAGCAGTGACCTTTCTCTTGCCGTTTGAAAGGCCTTTTGAAAGGCAGGAGAAAAAGGGCAGTGAACCAGAGCTCCTGAGGATTGGTCTCATTATTTGCACATGACGCCACCTTTGGATGTGTATGTGTGTGACGTGTTTGTGTGTGTATGTGTGTGTCTTCAAACTCCTCAGCATAGCTTTGGGTTAAATAATTCTCTTATTTCTGAGATCTGAAATATGTTGAATCAAAGAAAGTTGCCTTCCAGTATTCCTTTTTTTCCTCCATGTTGTCATTGCTACATATTTGTGTTCTTTTACTATTTTCACACCCTGCATCCCTCTTGTTTATGTGCTACATTACACAAAACAAAAAAAGCATCCTTTAGTTAGACAGCAATTAGAGTTAATGTATGGCTTGGTTGGTTCATTTCCGTGTCTTGTTGTTAGTTTAAATGAAAAGTTTACCTAAATCCGTCAAATGTCATTATTATATTTATTTTGTCCACTGTTAGCTATGATAGATGTCCTCACAAATGGCTTTGCCAGTTTAGACAGTTTATTTATAACTCCTGCCAAGACTTACTGCAGCAGTTCATTTAATGAACTGTCAAAATGCTACCATGTGCTTAGTTGCCACAAAACATCTGTGAACCAACCAATCAAAATACTGAATAAAACTGATGCAATAACCATCATCATTAATCCCAACCAACCAGCACTGGAGAAAGCATTTCACCACCATGCTTTCATCTTAATTAAAGCATCAACCAACATGCTCGGAAACGGAAGCATCAGTTGAAACACAGTCAAAAGAGCATGGACTGATTGGAAACGGCATCCCTAATAAATGCATTTGAGGTAGAAGCAGAAAGTAACACAGACAATGAATTCACTGACCATTGAGATGGCAAAAAATAAATAAAATAAAGAGAGGGAAAGAGTGTGAAAAAAACAAACCCATTTCCCAGCAGGGCGGAGAGGTGGCCAACGGTGGAGCTGAATATGGCCAATCAAGAATCTCTGGTTTGCAGGCTGAATGCACAATGCGGTTTGTGAGAAATCACTTTGGACAACCATAACATGGCCCTAAATAAAAATGTTCTCTCCTTTCTAGTGCTGTCTAGCCATCCCATAATAGCCCTAAGCTGTGGAACTGGCTCACTGCCTAAATCTCTTTCTTTTTGTCTTGGTCAGGCTCTTCTGCCTCTTCTGCCTCTTCTGAAAGCCCTGAACTGAACCTTGTATGACAGCTCACTGTCATTGTCCAAGTATAATCACTCTCAAGGATGCAAGGACCAGAACATACCAACTCCCTTTAACCTTTACAAAAATACAGCCAATATTATTGAACAAGTTGCATGAAAATCACTGGCAGTTAGATTGCAATGTGGTTCCACATACATATACAGTAATCGACATTATGAAACACACTTAATTGAAAGAGGCGTGTCTATTCTTAATTTTTGGTTATGACATGGGATGTTGGGAACAAT